GGTCTCGAACCCACGGGCTCAAGCAGTCCACTCACCTCAGCCTCCCAAAGGCATGGGATTACAGCCTGAGCCACTGAGCCCAGCTAATGGATATGTTTGTTAACTTGATCACTTGATCATTCCACTGTATATATGCATATCAAAACATCACATTGTACACCTTAAATATACGCAATTTAGATTTGCAGTTATACCCTGGTAGTGCTGGGGGGTCAAAGATTGATAACAACATTTGTATGTTCTATGTAAGAGAGGCAAGTGTTAAAATAAAATTTATATGGAAATGCAAGGATTCAGGAATAGCTAAGATGTTCGTGAAGAAGAAAGTGGGGGTTGGAGACATGAACACTTTCTCTAACAGATAACAAGATACGGGTTTGGACATAATTACCAGTGAAACAGAGTGCAGAACCCAGAAATAGATCCTTGCTTTTACAGAACTCTGATATATGACAGTGATAGCATTGTAAATTGGTGGAAAAATAAGGAACTGTTTATTAATTGGAGCTGGAATATTGGTTACCAGGTTGGGGAAAAAATTAATTTAAGGCCCTTACACCATTTACAAAAATAATTTTAAGTCCTTAAAAATAATTAAGGATTTAAATGCAAAATAAGCCACTTCAGAATTTTTAAGAAGCAAAAAAATAGGTGAATCTCTCTCTGGTTTGGCATGAACAGACTTATCTGGTCTGGCTTATGGTAGGTGAAGAATTTTTAGGTAGCATACAGAAAGCTCCAACAATGAAAGAAAAGATGGATATATTTTGCCTTATTAAAGTAAGCATTTCTGCTCATCAAAAGATATCTTAAATAAAATTAAAAAGAGGATACAGTGGGGGACGATAAGTGCAACAGTTGTAACTGATTAAGAATTTGTATCCAGAATATATAAAAAACTATTACAAAGCAAAAAGATGAAAATTTGAAAAATAGACAACTGAGTACTATAAAGATATTGTGTAGAAAGAAAATACACATGGAAGCAGTGAAAATTAATGAACTACAACTACCCACAGCTTTATGGATGAAACCTTAATGTCAAAATCTTGGATAAACAAAGCAATTGCAAAGATTGTAAACAGTATAATACTCTTTAGTCAAAAATGAAATAAAATTTGAGTGAATGATGAACAGAAAAGTTCAGAGTAGTGGTTGCTGGTTACCTCTTAAAGACAGTCAAGGTGGTTGGATATGGAAGGAGCACATAGGTAGGTGGGTGTTGTTGGTATATAATTCTTAAGCAGGAAGGTGATATATTTGTATTTGTTAAAAAATTTCAGAATCAGTCTAACAAAGTGTCATACCAAGGGCTAATGATGATAATTGAGTGTCATGAACAAAGGACTATCATTAACCTGTACCCAGGAACCAAGACAAATAAAATATATGGAATGCACATACTTATACAAGTATATGTGGATAAAGAATCAAGGTGATGAGGGGTGATCTGAGAGCTTGTATTTCCTGGGGTGACTGACAGATTTTCTCTGAACAGATTGTGGTGGTAAGGTGGTGTCAGAGATCTGGCCAGGAACTTGGAATTCTGTAGGTCTCCTTTTTCCTGAAAACCAGTGAAGTGTGTGAGGTTTGCCCTTAGTTGTCCATGCTCTTGGCCAGCAGAAGAGTGATGACACCAAGAGTAAACGCAGTTAGATCCTTGTAAAATACTTTGTCTAGCCCCACCCCCTTCTGTTTTGGAGGGAGAATGTGATGAAGTTACTTTACAGGGATAACATTGTAAACATCAGGAAAAGATATCAAAAGAAAGAAAGGAAAATAAAGATTTTAAAATTGAGTTTCTGTGCTTTATTTAACATCTAATCACTTCTTTACATATATATTCTTTCTGTAGTCTTCTGAAGACAATCTTTTTTATCACACTCCAAATTGTATTCTATTCATCTGATTATTGATTTATTATGAAAATTGTAAAATAATGTCACTTTTATACATATTAGACCATATAGCTCTCTTTACCACAGTTTTGTGTTTCAGATGTGGCAAGATCAGTTCTAAGTTCCAAGTAATTTTTTTCCCCTCATATTGTACCAATATTGTACTGACTGACTTAGGAAAAAAGGAATAGGTTTTTTGTTTTTATCCCTACAGCGTCACATAACTATATTTTGCATATCCAAATGCTTTGTTACATGAGACAGTCTAACTAGACTCACAGGTAGCAAGCAAGCACTTGCGACCTAATCTTGGGAAAGCTAATCAAATGCCTTGAAGTGGAGTTGAGAGAAGATTGTAAAACCACTGCTTTAGATCATGGAATATCCATCTAAAAAAATTAAAACAAAGGACACTTTGACATTGTATTTTAAAGAGGGAGTATTGCTGTTTAGGCATTTTTCTGATACAAATTATCTGAAGATAATCTGCATCTTTGAGCCTATGAAAAATAGATCATACTAGAAAGATTGATGGATTCGGTGTTAGAATACTCTTTTTTTCCACAACCGGACTATGAGACTGTAAAAAACAGGGACATGCATCTTTGTCAGTGAGTGGATGACTGAGACTATTAATGTATTCTGCTACTTGCTAACCCTGTAGTTGCCTTTGAATCTCACTCTCCTCATCTCTAAATTAATATTCACTGTTAACCTCACAGGAGAATTAGATAAGAATTGTACAAGTGGAAGTGTTTTGCATGCTGTAAAATGACACCAGCATTTTATTGTGAAATTTTATTAAATAATAATGAAATAGTGATTTAATATGTTTTAAAGGGAAAAAAAGTTTTTTTCCAGGGTCTCTAGGATGATTTGAAAAACTGTTTCCTGAACCTTTTAGTGAATACCACTGTAGGTGGCCGACCTTGCTTTTCTTTTGCTCCTCTTGATTATCTCTGTTGATCTCAAAGACCACCCACTACAAATTTACCCCTCAAGCCTCTTAAACCAGTATCTTTTAGTTATCCCATTTGTGATACATCACTAATCAAAGAGAAGAAAATGTCTTGTCAGAAGTTCAGAAATGCAAGGAATTGCAGGGTTTTACGTTATTCTCAGGACTTGTAATGATTAGATTTGTCAAGTAAAAGTATTACTTATACCACAGAATTAGGTATTTATTTCTTAATGATTATGCAAGAATGATCTTTGTCTTTGAGGAGGCAGAGGACAGGCAGTTAAAATATTTGGGCATTTGAGTGAAATATGAATACATAATTATTAGGAAAATGATTAACAAAAATTGCTTAATCCTTTAAAATAGTAAAGATGAGAAATAATGCTTTATAATTTACTACCTTAGTTAATTTTATATACATACAGGGGATATTATATTTGGCAAATAATGAATTTGGGTTGTTATTTTAATAGACATAGCTGATTTTGTTTTATTTAAATGCTACCAAAATATAATTAACAAAGATACAGCTTTGAAATTAAATCCAAATTCACAGTAAATACAACTTCAGTTTGAGTCTTTGCTACAATAGAATGAGATTTGTAAATAACTTAGGCTTTTCTGTTTGTTTTTTAGTTATTAAGTCGAAAAGACAAAACTACCTTTGAAAAATTAGAATATGTAATGAGTAAAGAAGATAACTACAAAAGGCTCAGAGACTATATAAGTAGCTTAAAGATGACACCTTGCATTCCCTATTTAGGTGAGTTATGTCGCTGTGTGTTTGTTGTTCCTAGTTGTTTCTCTTCCTTAATCAGTAATTTAAATGAAATTCAAGGTATTTTTTAAAGTATATGTATCCTTTAAGTAAATTACTGCAAGATTGGTAACCTGAAAAAAAGTTGACTGAAGGAAGTTGTTACCTTATTACCTGGAATCCTGGAATGTATTTTCATATTAAATTAGCCTTTTGCCCTCTCAGTTATTTATAGACTATTATGTTTTCTTAGAGATGAATCATATAGTGAAACAATATGTTTCAGCTGTTTTAGTAATGCTTTTAAAAGAATGAAATAGTAGTTTATAATGAAATTTAATACATTGACTAAAGAAGTTGATCAAAGTTCTTACACAGTTGGCAGATATCTTAGTGTAAATTTTGAAGGGTAGTCTTACTGCATATTGGTATTGATTGTTTACCTGGATGAAATTAGTTGGTTAGCTGTGTAAATTTAGCTTAGTACTGAGACAGTTCTGTATTTTATATATCTATATATTTATATATTTATATATCATATATTATGTATTTACTATATATCTTACAGTATAAATTCAAAAAGTATTTAACCAGTAAGATTATAAGATTATTTTCAACATAATATGAATAATGCTTTGTTACATGTTTGAAGGAAAAGAAGTCCCAAATAAACTGTCCTTTTTAATTTGTACATAAATTGAATATACAGAAAATACATGATATGTATCTAGCATACATTAAAATAAATTGGTTCGATTCTTTAGAGAGTAATCACATGATAAACATTTTTTCTTTCTAATATTCCTTTTCCCACCTTCCCTCCCCCAATCTCTACTCTGTTTTTTGCATAACTGCTCATACCAGATTTCAAAATATCTATTTTCTGAGAGTAATTGAAAAGTCTTTTATTTGGTTAGGAGACTCAACAGTGTCACCTTCAGAGTGTTCACCAGTGGCTAGAAGACAAAGGAGAGACAAAGGCAATTGATACATGCCCATTCAGCTGCTATAGAACATCAGCTTTAGTTTCCCAGAGAAGAGTTGAACTCGTTAGGATATTGTGGGACATGTTAGGATTCCAGTGGGAATGGGGATATGTTGTGCACCATGTATTGAAGGCAACATACCCCTAAACACAGTATAGTTAATGGTCACTACATACCAGAATATTGTGTCCCATTTTTTTGATGAGCAATTCATAACCATAGTAAGCATGACTCCATCAGAGAGGCTTTAAGCTGAATGTCAGGAGAAAGATGTTCTGTATGTGCTCTGCTTTTTACCATAGCCTCAGTCGTGCTCATGCTTCAAAATGCAATTTAGGGGAGAGGAGGACTACAGGATTTTTTAAAATAATGTTTGCACAGTTCACAAGAGCATAAACTTTTCATAGCATAAAGAACATTAGATTGAGGATTGGCAATCCTCAGTTCCGAAATGGCTTTCCTATACTAACTTTCAAGTCATTGAATTGTTGAGCCTTGTTCTTTTTACCGAGAAATAGCATGCATAAGACCAGAATCATGTTCTTAAGGCTGCATGGGACCATAGTGATGTCTTCTGATTAACTTATTTTACAAGTGAGAAAACCAAGATCTAGAAAGGTGGATGACCTAGCTCATAGTCCTAAGACCTAATTACTGAGAGTCTGCAATCTAAAGTCTTGACCTAGAAAGCTCCAATTATACTGTTAAACTCTAAATTCTAAAATTTACCAATTTTGTGATTATTGTTCTCATTGAAATATGTTTTTCTCAAACTAAATTCCATAATTTGTATCTATTGAAAATGGAAATTATTTTCCATTGAAAATGAAAAACTGACCACACAATCTGAATCCTTATGCTGTGATTTCTAGTCAAGAGCCTTGTTTATATGTTTACAGTAGAGATGTCAGTGCAGGATGTGAAGCCGCATGTATGTATGTGCTCATATGTTCTCATGCACACTCATGTACACAGAGAAAGAAGAGGAAGAAACCACTAGCAAAGTTGGGATTCAGTGGAATCAGAAAGTTTTCTGTTAGAGAATATACCTCCTCTCTCTCTCAGCCTGATATCTAAAACAAACACAGTAATTATTCCTTTGAGTTAAAGCAAATGAGGCAAATATTGGGGTACAAATGTTAATTTGGGGAAAATATTGGAACCACCATTTTTCTTGTGTCTTCAATTTGGTCTGAAATGACTCCTCTTTTCAGTTCTCTTTAATTTTGTGTGTTTTTATGATTTAGCATCCTCCATTTCACTGTCACCACGTAGTTCTCCTTCACTTTATACTTAAGCTGATTTTAAAAAAAAGACGCTATTCTTGCTGACTCCTTTTTCTTGCTGTTTTCTTTTGTTCAGCATGCTAATATCTCCCTTTTCTCTCTGTAGAAATTTTCCTAATAAAGTCACCACTGACTTCCTGGTTGAAACATTTAATACGTATTTCTCAAACCTCATCATAATTTTGTGAGGGTTGATACTAGTTATTTCTCCTCTTTGAAATTCTCCATAAATAACACCAGTCTTTCTTGGTTTGTCTTCTACACATCTGGCTTTTGCTTTATTGGCTGCTCTTTTTCTGCCTTTATATCTTAAATGTATTTTTGTAAAGGTCTCAGTCTACTTCTTTTCCTACTCTGTATATGCATGTGGAGTATTCTTATTCAGGGTTTTTCTGTTTTGCCTGATGACTCGTATACCTAGACTTAGACCTGTGTATCTGGCTACCTGCTTAATCTCTGGAGCCTCTTAACATTTTAGATACTAAAGTACTGGTTGATTGAATGAAAAATCTTTAGCTAACTCCAATTCGGCATGTTCAGAAGTGAATTTGTCATCCTTCCTCCTTCCTCCAAACTGAATCCCCATCTTCTTTCTTAGTTTACTCTCCCAGTGGTCACATCAGTGTAGCTTTATCCAGACCACTGTACCACACTACAGACCTGATGTTTTACTGCATTTCTCCTCCTCCTCTGTTTCTCGTATTGTCCAGTAAAACGAGATGCATGTGCCCTAGGGTTATCCAGAAATTAGAAACCAAAAGGGGAAAAGGACAAAGAATTTAAGATGTTAAAATGGCTGGACTCGGTGGCTCAGCCTGTAATCCCACGCTTTGGGAGGCTGAGGTGAGTGGATTGCCTGAGCCCACGGGTTCGAGACCCGCCTGGGCAATTTGGCAAGACCTCATCTCTACAATAAATCAAAACTAGCCCGGCGTGGTAGTGCGCGCCTGTAGTTCCAACTACTTGGAAGGCTGAGGTAGAAGGATCACCAGAGCCCAGCAGGTCGAGGTTGCAGTGGCCGGGAGCAGCCACTGCACTCCAGTCTGGGCAACAGAGTGAGACTCCAACTCAAAAAAAAGATGTTAAAATGGAGAGCAAACACTTTCACATCTACGTACTTTTATATATGTTCTTCATCTAGTTCGTCCCTGTGCTGTTATGTGAAGAAGCACCTTGATTGTGAGATGATTGTGGACAGCTTGGCATAAACATTTGGTAGACTTGGGAAAGGAAAATGGAACATTTATCAAATAAGTTTTTATGACTCAGTTTAGTTTCCAGCATGAAAAGTATCCTTTTAATGCAGTGACAGTTTTGTTTTATAGCAAACCTTGAGGTGAAATGTATTTAATCTTCGAAAACATACTTGATTTTAACAAAATGAGAAACAAATCTCTTATACAACTTTTTGACTGCTTGATTTACGTCACAGATGGTTTGATTTTTATTCCTGATCATCAGTACTGAAGTGTGTTGAAGAATGCTGATATAACAGTAGTTTATATCCTGTTAATATTTCCTTTTTTTTGTATTTTGTTCTAATTTAAAATTAATTAGGTTGTGGTTTTTGCATTTAACTTGTCTTGATTGCAGAGTCCTTTCCTATTCATGTGAGACTAGGACTAGTACAATTGCCAAAAACTTCAATATTTATAGATGCTGTACATATGATAGGGCAGAACTTGCCCGAAAGATGTTGCAATATAATACTCATACAAATTGGTAGCTTCATTTAACTCTTCCTTTTCAAGTATACAGAATTTGCATATTGCTACCCTTTTTTCATTATGTCTGCAGAGATTCTTATGGAAAGAATATATCAACCAAAATAATCTATAGTGCAGTAACAGAAGGTTAAAACCTAATCACCTGTTTCTTAACATGAGAGATATGGTCCAAACTGTGTCTTTTCCCCTAGAAATATTATCAAAACCAATCTTTTTTTTTTTGAAACTTTTAAAAAGGAGGTGTAGGGACTTATGTGCTGATAAAACTCTTATTTTGACTCTGCTAAATTTATCTGTAATTCAATGTGGATTAAATTATACGAAGCAGAAAATGTTTTCTTGGCTTTCATCATCCCTTGAAAAATTGTCTCTTCTGTTGGTCTGCATTCAAGGTAAAAATTAGTCAACTTGGACAATATAATGAAAGACTCTTAAAATAAGGATCCAGTTTGCCTAGAAAGGAATAGTCTGGCAAATCTCAAGGAAAAAATTGTTTTATAAGAGAATTATTGCTTTAAATCTAAAAATCATTAGCAGCACTCATTTGTTCTTGTCATTGGAATACAACCTTAAGGGACTTGTTGAAGAATTTGGCACAAGAAGTTTTGTTTTGCTGCAGAGAGAAAACTAGAACATTATTTTTTTAAATTGTATGAAACATGATAAATACTCTTTTATGTGCATTTTCTAAGCATCATTTCTACTTTATTCATGTAATGAGAAGATGCAGTAGTTCAACCAGATTAGGTTGCTTTCTGGGAAAGAAAGTATATCTTTCAAACTGTGGAAGTAAATAAATTGTTACAGTACTGTGCAGAATGTTACAGAGAAGTTGCTGTAAAACCTCCAACCCTCTAAAGGACAAATGTATACTATTTTGATGCATTTAGATAGGACCCCTCCTCCTTTCCCTCCCCATTTAATTTTTAATATGTCAGGTTTTCACAATAGGACTTTTTGTTGAGAAAAGAAAGACTGTTCTTATAACCTTCTGTAATATAGTGTCCCCTGCCCACTGCTCTCTGAAAAGCACTCTTTTATGATATTTTCACTACTTTGACTCCCATTTAACACAATGTCAGCTCCTGTTTGTCTTGGTTTAAGGCTTTATCATTACAGCATTTAGAACAAAAGTAGGCACTTAATATTTGGTTCAACTGATTAATTGAATTATCCCTTTCTGGCTCTTCCAGTAAACTTATTTGTTTTAGCAATTATTTAAATGCAATATATTTGTGTGGCATATTTGCATGGGTCAGCTCCTTACTCACCCCTGACTGGGGTGGGCTGTGGCCTCCAAGAGCAAACAGTATTTGCGTAGTACTGTTCTTGGTGCTAGATATGTAGCAGGAGATAAAATGGACTTTGTCCCTACCTTTATGAAACTTAATAATTCTTTACTAACAAAGGTTCAGGTCAATATCATTATACATTTGAGTAATCTCTCCTGTTTTCTATGTCCTGGAAGAGATGTGTGTGATTGCCTTGTGTCTTACATTGTTAGTGGTATTCTCATCACAGTTAATGAAAATTTTAAAACATACCTAAAATGATAAGAGTCTTCAGATTTTATCTGATCTTTTTTGGTTTTCAGTAATTTTTGCACATACTGAAATGTTAAATACTGATCTCTCAGTAGTTTAGTTTGTTATAGAAATTTCTACTAACTAGTATACAAATATTTTTTAAAATAATAGTTTTGTGTTCACATTTCTGGTCAAATAATTTCAACAGAGTCTAAGACTTTCTGCCACTCTATAGGAGTTAACAGAATATTTGTCTTCCCCTTTGATAGAATTTTGCTTGATTAAGTATATAAAAGGCTCTGACACTGATCTCAAAAATGCTTAATACTCAAAAAATGTCACTGACTTTTAAGATTTTAAGAAGTTGCATTCCATTTTCCTTTCTTTGATTTTATTTGTAGGTGATATACATGCATTATGGATTACTTTACTCTGTTCTTTTAATTATGTGTTGTTGTATATTGTATTCTGAAACAATAGGAAAGCATGCTCAGTCTTTTTTTTGGCTCCTGAGAATGAGCTCTACCCAGATGGCAGCTAGCCCTTTTTCTTTCGCCAGAATTGCATCCGCATTTTCCATTACTTCATTTATATCCTTTTTTACCCTGACTCTTTTTTATATATTTAAAATTCCTCTAAGTTCTTTATTGGTATATTTCTTGACATTTACTTTAGACCAAAGATTTGTGATATAAAAGAGCTGCTGATAGGGTTGTATTAATTTTATTCCTGTGTTCATAGTTTTTTTCTTTAAGAGCCTATGTCTTTTTTTTAAATCAGAGTAGCAGCCATACAGATTAGCATGCCAGTCATCAACAGAGTTAGATTCCTCCCAGTTTCAACATTTTTGCCAGTGGTGTTTCCAATAAATTGTTTTGTAATTTTTTGAGCAAACATTAACAGAAAAATAATAACTTTGATAAGTAAAATGTGTCATCACGCAACCCTATATGCCTGATATTGTGTATTTTACATAAATTGTCTAGCACATAACAATTTTATAAAGTATATTATTCATATTTTACAAGTGAAGAAACTGGGGTGAGAGGTTAGGTTGACTTGTTATAAAAATATACATTCTAACTATTCATAGTTCATATAAAGCATTATGGATTACATTAAAATTTTGGAAATCTGTATTTAGGTTAAAATTTTGAGTTCATTCATCAGTCTTTCCTATAATTATAGAATTACAATATGGTAACCCCACTGATAAAACTGAAAACTGAGCTTGTTTTCAGATGGCCTTTTGTTCAGAGGAAGTTCATGGCATTGTAAGTGGAATCATTCTTTTCTTACTTGGCTATCTTTCACAGACAATAAAATAAAAGACTAAAAACTTGTTGGGGTATAATAATCTTCAATTTGCTATTAAGATTAATTTAAATATTTATAAATCCTATCACTTTCATAAAGATTTATAAAAGTAACTTAAGATATTTTCATGATTGCAGAAGTTTTTTTGTAAAAACAAAAAGAAATTTATATGTAAGCTAAATTTCAAGTTGCTATCTAATTTTGACATTTTCCAAAATCTCAGGTTTCAAAAATCTGATTCAGAGAGGCATTGATGGCCTCCCAATTACAAATCAGTCTGAATCTTTTATAGGACAAACTTTATTAATTTATTAACAATAACTGAACATAGACTCCTTCTGTAAACCAGCTCCAAGGCAAGATTCGAGTTCAGTCCTACGGATGGTAGGGCAGACACATCGTGGTTCCTAGATGGCCTGCAAAGTAGGTAGCTCCTACCACACAAGGGACCTCACTGACTCTCTCATGAGTCTCTCTTTACACTGACATTCCCACTATGGCTATTCTTGCCTTAATTTTTCTTTTTTTTTAAATAGTCTAGCCTTTTGACTACAGCTGACATGGCTTTATTAGGTTTGCAAGTGAGGATCATGGATCAATGTAATTTCATACCTGAAAACTTGGACTTTTTTTTAAACACTTTTATTGATTACCTATTCTATGCAAGGTGGTGTGAGTGGTATTGCAGAAAGTACATAGATGAGTAGTAATAATGATAGTTAAAATTTACTGAGTGCTTAAAAGTGTCAGGCATTATTCTAAATGTTTTCCGTACATTACCTCATTTACTCTGCACAATAACCATAAGAGTTAGGCACTGTTATTATCCCCATTTTATAGATAAGAAAGCAGAGGCGGATGTGTATAAATTACTCAAGGTAACACAACTAGCAAATAGTTGAGCTGGGCCACAAACCCAAGCAGTTCTGAGTTACAGCCTACACTAGTCATCATACAATACCAAAATAAAAATATAATTTTTTTTTCTTATTTCCCTCTCAAGAAACTTAGTTACCCAAGTTATTCTTTTTTTTTTTTTTTTTATTGTCAAGTTGTGGGGTACAGTTAAGGGTTAGGTATACAATTGCGTTTCATTCAGGCACCCTGTTGATATGGGGTGTTTCCCCGTTCCCAGACAGATATTTACTACTGTTAATCCCATCTCCCTCCCCCCGACCCAAGTTATTCTTAAGCTCTCTAGGAACCATGGAGCAGAACCAGGCCAGCTCTGTGAAGGAGAGCAGAAGGGGCCTATCAACTAAGGTAGATTAGCATTTGGCCCAGTTTTCTAGTTAGTATATTGACTTTTGCATTCTAGTTTTAATATTATTCTTCTTAAGGTTTGGGGTGTGTAAGAGAAATTCTGTAGTTCTGTCAACAGATGGGATGTCTTGGTAAAGTTTTATTCAGTTAAGATTTGGTAGAACAATTTCTCCCAGAAACCTTTAAACAGATTTTTTTGGATCTGGGGCTGGTGGAGAGGAACCTCAAAACCATTTAAAAATGACCATAGGTAAAACAAAGAATAATGCCACTATGAGGCGTAGTTGTTTACTTAACTTCTTTCACCAGAAGTCTTATTTTGAGATGTAGCAAATGAAAACATTGCTCATGTTGATGAACTTGAGTTCAAATGATTCTCTTCCAACTAAGCCATTCCCATGGAAAGTGCGCCTCACACATTTTAATTCTGGTTGGGTTTTCTTTTTGCTTAAACAAAAGTTTCATGAGATTTCTTTAAAATTTTAGCTTCACAAATGAATTAAGAGATAGACCACTCTAAGCAGTGAATATATTTCTGAAAGGAAACTTTTCCAGAAGATCACTAATAGAGTTGTTGAAAAGAGGGGTTAAAGACACTGTGAGACTAAGCATTATCCACACACACTGTAATGTGGAGTGAGCAGTTTTGACTACCTATGCATACCCTGTGGCTTCTGCTTTGAAGCCATTGAATCCTCAGCACTGGGAGAACATCTTAGAGTCCTTGAATTTGTTTTGGTTCCACTTGTAAGTGTGCACTAATGTTTGCACAGTTGTCTAAGCTTTCTGATTTGAAAAAGCAGACAGGTTTTATTTTTTTAATAGAAAGGATCAGTAAATTAGAAAAATAAAGTATTAATAAATACATTTAGAATTATAATTCAGATCTGTAAAATTAGCACACTAAATATTCTGCATTTTTGTAATTCAATATTTTGCTGATTTTAGAAGTATAAAAATATATTTCAGATATTGCTGTTCAGTATATCATTTGAAGACAATATTGAGAAGTTCATTCACATATGTTTTTATAAATTAACCATTTAAATGATGCCTGCTTTATTTGTGCATTTTTTTGTTTTTAAAAATGATATGTATTTTAATACTGTGGGTCACTTAATATTTTTGGGAATACTGGCGTAGACTGTATTGCCAAGAACTCAGAATTAATAATTACGTGTGAAAGGCACAAATTCAACTAGAAGAAACTTTTATTTAATGAAAAATGTACTTTATATTGGCAAAATTAGAGGTTTCTCTCTAATTTCCTGTCTATAATTTTATAAATAAAATTTATTACTTGAGGGAAATTTTAAAATTATTTTTTTCATTGAAAGAGCAGTCTCATAGTTTTTAAATAAATTTTTAAGTCTCTTGAACTTGTATTCAGTTATGATTTAAAATAAAACTAAGATTTGTTTTACATCATGGTAAATATTTACACGTTAGAAAACAAACTTTGCCTGTATTTGGTCAGTATAATTTTAAAATAGCTAGGATATGGACATAAAATAATTTTCTGCAGTATATTGAAGGCAGATGAAACTGCCTTCATCCCCTTTTATAGTTACGGAAAATTCATTTAAAAAACTATATCTGTGGAAATAAATTGTGCAAAATAATATACATGTAACATTTACATTTTTAGGAAATGAAAAATGCAGAGTTCTCTGTCATTTAAATTGGAGACATCTGTCTTCAGTCAATTGGCTTGATCATCATCTGAACTGCTCTCAAGGAGTATGACCCGCCTCTGTATTCAGCCCAAAAAATTCCATCTTGGTGCTTGCTTCTGTAGTGGCCTCCTCGGTACCATACCCCGTTGAGGTTAGAGTGTGCACAGGCGTTGTACCACCAGCCTCCTTTATGAAAGTGTGCACAATTTCCTTTGAGGAAAAATTAGAGATATAAAAGTAAACGTTTCTTCTAAGTGTGTACTCGAAAACAGTCAAAACTTACTCTACCTTTGGAACAGTTCAAGTTTCCCTTACTGATTCCAGTTGCCTTTATCTTAATAGTTTTATTTCTTCGTTTATTCTATTGCAGCTACTTGAAAGATCACTTGAATTGCCTTTTTTAATCTTTCTCTATGCTTGCTTAATATGTGTATTTGGAAAAGGGAGGATTTAATTTTCAAGGTAGCAGAGTAAATGCAAGCAGTTTTTGTATGTGAGAGAGATCCTGAAGGAGAGGTTGGGAAGGAAAGATATAGTTACTAATGGAGAGGGTAAAGTGTAGGAGAAGTTGAATTCTCAAGATAAAATAGCACTGCCAACAATCACTTGGGCTTATGTGAATGAGGCATGTTAAGGTTGTATCTCTCTTCTTTTCTCTCTCTTTTACCAGTGTGAAATAGGTTAAAATAGAGATCTGCATGCTGCTTGCCAAGATACAGCTAAAGAGAAAAATTAATGAATTTTCAGGGGAGATATCTCTTTATCAGTGCCAGAAAACTGGGTTTAAAAAGCCAAAGCATATGAAAATTAAATTTAAAAGAATATGAATGGTCTAATTGATTCTAATGAAAATACCAATTTCCTCTCTAAATCAAGCTTTTTTGCTATTCCTGTGCCACATGTCACAGTCATCTTGCTTTTACCCTCTAAGAAATGTTCTTACACCATGTATCCAGTGGCTTGCCTTCTTCACTCCCTGCAGGTCTTTTGTTGTTGTTTTGTTTTTGTTTTTTGGTTTTTGAGTTGGAGTCTCACGCTGTTGCCCAGACTGGAGTGCAGTGGCACACTCACTGCTGGGCTCTAGCGATCCTTCTACCTCAGCCTTCCAAGTAGCCGGAACTACAGGTGCGTACTACCATGCCCAGCTAATTTTTTTTTTTTTTTTTTTTGTAGAGATGAGATCTCACCAAGTTGCCCAGGGTATTCTTGAACCCATGGACTCAGGCGATCCCCTCACCTTAGTCTCCCAAAGTGCTGGGATTACAGACTTGAGCCACCGTGCCAGCGGTCCCCTGCCAGTCTTTTAAGTATTGCCTTCTCATGGTAGCCTTGCCAGGCCAACTCGTATACAACAGCTCCTACCCCCGGCCCTGTTGCTCATCATTTTCTGTTCCCTGAGTCACTTTCACTTTTCTTAGTGTGCTTATTGCCACCTTACAAATCATTTTGCCTCCTTCTCCTAGAGAATAAGCTTCAAAAGGTAGGAACTTTGTTCACTGCTGTAGCCCAGCACCTAGACCAGTGCCTAGCACTTGGTAGGTGTTCGGTTAGTATTGATTATTAACTTTAGGTGGTTGCATTTACTTCCAGATGAATGTGTTTTTGTTTTGTTTTGTTCCCCAGGACCTTGTTCTTCACATAGATTACACTTTGGGGGTACCTTATAGAAGAGATCCTAATATCTATTTCTTTCAGTAGGTTATATTTCCCATAACTGTGTACAAAATGACCTTCCTGAAAATATTTTAGTATAAAATTAACTTTAATACTGGGTTCTATTGAATGCACAGAAGGTAATAATTCTACAAAGAATTAAAGTTTTTTCTTACCTGCATACATATCTTTATCTCTGTCCAGTGTGGTGAACTGTTTACCATTATGCCACATCATAGAATCCCCTGCGTTTCCCTGGTAAGTTCCTAGGCGCAGTCTATAGAATTCACTTTCAGGTTCCAGACGAAAGCTGCTGTATTCTGCATAAACTTTTTTATCACTCCAGTCTTCTAATTCAATCAACAATTTGTAATTATCTTGATTGCTAAGCATATAGATATTTTCCAGTCCAAGCCAATATTCTCCATCAATATTTCCAAAACCTTTCTGTTAATAAACGAAGGAACATGAGTGTGTAGATAAGGGTAGAGGTAATAAACATTTGTATAGTTAGGTTTTAAACATGCAGTAGCACAAAGATATTGGCTATTTCAGTGGTAATGTGAACTTCTCCTTTTGTTGACCACCCAACTTTTAAAAGCCTCTTGTCACTTTGTTGTGTTTTACTTTCTTTTATTTATTTTTTATTTTTTTGAGTTGGAGTCTCACTCTGTCGCCCAGACTGGAGTGCAGTGGCTGCTTCCGGCCACCGCAGCCTCGACCTGCTGGGCTCTGGCGATCCTTCCGCCTCAGCCTTCTGAGTAGCTGGAATTACAGGCATGCACTACCACGCCCCTTTTTTGATTTATTGTAGAGATGAGGTCTCTCCAAGTTGCCCAGGCAGGTCTCGAACCCGCGGGCTCAGGCAGTCCACTCACCTCAGCCTCAGTATGTTTGTATGCATTTGCAGAGCTAGCTTCAAATCCTACAAAACCTAACAACAGAACAAAATTTCTGTTTTTAGCAGCTACTAAAAACAGTAACTAGTGAGCTACTCAGATCCTTAAAAAGCGTTCCTGATCTCCCTCATCCTTGGTCAAAGAGCCAAAACTTTTCTGATAGTAATCTTTGTAAAGTGGTAAGTATATGGATGTATCATCCAGACTGAAAAGGGAACATTTTAAAGTATATCTTCAGTTTCCTTCCTACATTTTAATTTTTACTTGAAAAATTAAAATGTAAAAAGATGTAGAATGAAAAAGCATATGAATAATTATTTTTTAACAGTGTATCTTATTTATTGCATAGAATGCATTTCTTGTTTCTTGTACTGTTGCAAGAACTGCTTTGTTTCACCTCCCCTAATTCTCAATCACTGATTTACCTTATAATTTTCCCAATTTCTGAAGAAGTTGACAGAACCATCTGTTCTTTTCTGAATAACAGTCCAACCCCCAGGATCCAGACTGTTCTCACACCATAACTGCATTGGTCCATTGCTGTTTTCAGGCTTAATCATATAAATCCCACTGACCGAATGTCCAGCTTCTTTTGCATGTTGACAGTCTTTGAATGGTCCTGAAATTTAAATATCACTGATTACCAGGATATGCTTAACATGAGAAGAGACATATTAAATAGTTTTTAATCAAGATTCTTGGAGTCTTACAGATACAACTTTTTATCTACTCTATCCACAAGACTATAAAAGTTAAAGAGAAGGATTTCTCCAGTTGCATTATCTGGAACTTGAACTTGTTTCATTTTCCACTGTTCTTTTCTTTGTTCATATGCATACATCTTTATATTGTTAAAATCCTAACACATGTAGAAAATTAGATTTCGGCTTTTTAACAGACATTTCCATGGAGCTATAGTCTCCATTCTAGCACTTATAGTAGCTGTATAATACAATCCTCGATATTGATATATCAGTGTGTATTTCACTATTATTGAACATCAAGGTTTTATCTGATTTTTGCTATTATAAATCATACCTCACAAAGTGTCTTCATTCGTATTGGCTTTGTTTTTTCATATCTATTTATTGAAATGTTGAGGGATTGAGCAACTGGATCAAGGGGATAGCAACTCTTTTATAGCTCTTCATAGTGCCCACTTTACAGTTCTGGAAATTTGATTTTTGTGAAACACAACAGTCCTTTGAGATACTCAATGAAAATGGGGAGCCACAGTCAAATAAACTTTTAAAATGCAAAATACTTTGTTTCCCTTTTGGAAACACACAACATACATATTAAAGGCCGAGAAGCACTGAAATAAACTAGAGTTTCCCAGACTTATAGGATCTTACATTTTCCCCCACAACACTTAGTAATTCATTTCAGGAATGTTGGCCTAAATCTTTTCCTAAAGAGTTTATTAATATATTTGACTAATAGTAACCTTCTCATTTAACCTGTACAATGATCCTGTGATAGCTTTCAGATGTTCTACAGATAGAACAATTAACTAAGACCATGTATTTCAGAAGGTGGTAAACCCTAGACTTAAGCCCATCTGTAATCCCAGAGTCCATATTCTGAACGCTGCTACATTTGCCCGCATGTTGTTGTATAGTTTTAGGTTTCTCCCTCTCCATCTCTCTCTCTCTCTTTGAGTCGGGGTGGGAGGGTCTCACCCATTTACCCCAGCTGGAGCACAGTGGCAAGATCACCACTCACTTCAGCCTTGACCTCCTGGGTTCGAGACATCCTCCTCTATCAGCCTCCCAAGTAGCTGGGACTGCAGGCGCACACCACCACACAAGACTTTTTTTTTTTTTTTTTTCCTGTAGAGACAAGGTTTTGCTGTGTTACCCTGACTGGTCTCAAACTCCTGGGCTCGAGTGATCCTCCTACCTCCTCCTCCCAAAGTGCTGGGATTACAGTTTTGAACCACTGTGCCTAGCCTTCTCTATTTTTTAATTCACTAATAACATTTTGAGAAAACAGTTTGTTAAGTTATCTGTAGAGTGACTCTTGAACTTGTAATACCTACGTTTTTGAATCTAAAGAAGGATAGCTTTACTGAACATTCTTCAGTCTCATCTTTCTCCTGTGTTTGGAACCATTTTATAAGCATGCAAAAAATATTAAGTTATTCAGAAATAAGAATTACCCTAAAGATCTATTAGAACAAAAAAAAAGTATAAAAGTTCTAATTGTCAAATTTTACATCTTACTAGAAATTTTAAAATTCTGATGTGTAATTTTTGGAAATTATGTGAAGATAGAGACGAGTAAAGTTCTTATAAGAGTCACTGTATTGCCAGGCTCGGTGGCTCAGCCTGTAAATCCCACGCCTTAGGGAGGCTGAGGTGAGTGGATTGCCTGAGTCCGCGGGTTCGAGACCCGCCTGGGCAGCAAGACCTCATCTCTACAATAAATCAAAAAAATCAGCCGGGCATGGTAGCGCATGCCTGTAATTCCGGCTACTTGGAAGGCTGAGGTGGAAGGATCGCCGGAGCCCAGCAGGTCGAGGCTGCAGTGGCCGGGAGCGGCCGCTGCACTCCAGTCTGGGCGACTGAGTGAGACTCCAATTCAAAAAAAAAAAAAGAATCACTGTACTGTATTGATAATAGGCTTGTTGGAATTTTTAGACGTGAGTTGTTGATACTTTGCCAAGTGTATAGTGTCCCTTTTGGGCCTTATTGGGATATAATTAATCTCATTAAATATATAGTTATACAGCTATATCTTTAGAAGGGGTTTGTAGAGACTGTGAGCTCTTCCTTCTAGAATGCTCCTTGAGAACAGAGACTGTCTTTTGTTTTTCTTTAGACTTCATGTCATCACTGTTATAACTCTTAGGAAGACTGTCACTATTTTTTGTTAAATGAATCAGTCTACTTTCTCATGTTACATACAAGGGAATTGAAAGCCACACACAAAAATCAGAACGTCAATTTTTCTAATCTGTATTTGTATTATGTTTTATTGCTATCTCTCTATGTTTCCAGTTTTCTTTTTTCTTTTTTTTTTTCCCACTTGTTAAAAGCTCTTTTTTTCCCACGACTTTGTTAGACTTGCAGGTGCAAGGCCACAAAAAATTGGGCTAAGAATCAGAATTGTTCCTCTCCACGGAAATCTTTACTAAAGGCGAAAAGTTTATGCAATCAGAGTATTGGTTCAGATTTTTTAAAATTATGATACAATATCCATTTTTACTCTAGACTACTAGTAAAACTTTGAGAAACTGGGAAGATTTGTGGTTTCTTTCTTGGGTTATATTTGTTTTAGGTATTGTTTAATTCTAGAGTTTCAGTTTGTTTCCTTTTTTTTGTTTTGATTTTGAGTTGGAGTCTCACTCCGTCACCTAGGCTGAAGTGCAGTGGCACACTCATGGCCACCCCAGCGTCGACCAGCTGGACTCTGGCAATCCTTCCGCCTCAGCTTTCCAAGTAGCTGGAACTACAGGTGCACAGTACCATGCCCAGCTAATGTTTTTTCTTATTTATTATGGAGGCAAGGTCTCGAACCCTTGGACTCAGGTAATCCACTCTTCTCAGCCTCCCAAAGTGCTGGGATTACAGGCTGAGCCTGTGAGCCTGGCCAGTTTAGTTATTTTTCATAGTTTTATTTCTCTTCTGAGATGTCCTATCTTTGCATTTATTGTAAACATATTTTTCTTTAAGGCATTGAAGTGTTATAACAACTATTTTTAAATTCTTGTTCTTTTTTTCCATGTTTGCTGAGAGTTTTTATCATGAATGGATTTTTTAAAATTTTTTTCCAAAGGCTTTTTATGTCTACTGAGATGATAGGTTTTTTCTTTTTTTCTTTGTCTGTTAATATGGTAAATTATATTGATTATATTTTGAATGTTAAGCCAACCTTATATTCTTGGGATATACTTGACTTTGGTGAAAGTATTCAGAGTTCTCAACACAGTACTTAGCAAAATTGTCATCATCAGTCACTATTCCTTCTTTTCTGCTGTATTCCTTATCTTAGTACATAGTGATAGCTTAATTAATAATTTAAGTAGCTTATTTAATAAATTTAATATAGCTACTCAAAGATGAATGTACAGTTATTTCTACTGCAGAGAAATAGTGTATTCCTTAAAAGGCTTGTGTACTACAAATTCATGCACTAAAAATAACAGCTGATTTTAACTGTTATATACTTTGTATTCAGCTTTAGTTACCTGTGGCATAGAACATTAATGTGCTTTGAAAAAGAATAACCTCTTTGTTTTACTGATGCTATTTTCCATTTTTGCCAGTCACATATGAGCCACTTCACATGATAGAAACATGCATTGTAGTCAAGTCAGAGGAGGACAGAAAGGTCATATTTCAGATAGGATGAAATTTACAGAACTTTACATTTATATGAGAGTGAAATGAAAGGAAAAGTAAAGTATGCCTCCCAGGTCCATACATAGATTATTTTGTATAATGCATGGTGGTATATTTGTTTATGTGTAGGCCTCACAGGCAAGGACTTTATCTCTTGGTGTGTATCCACAGTTTGAGTACACTTAGGCACACAGATTATTTGTTAAACAAAATGATTCCTGTTGGGCGTGATTTCCAGAATTCCCTCAGTTCTGCATGATTCTTTCCAGATATGTCTTCATCTACTATAGAATAGAGACTCTTAAACTCAAGGGCTAGAGAAACAACCTTAGAGTCAAGTGGGAGATGGGAGAAGTAGCAAGAGAGAGAAAATTCCACAACGATGTGACAAGTACTTAGATGGTGCTATGCAGGGCACATGGTAACAGTGTTTGAGAACCAGGAGAGCTGTAAGAGGAACGTTTATCTTATTTTAAAACCGATTTGTGTTATAGTTAATGCATACATGAAAGTAATTTTGTTTCAGTATACGTAAATATTTCTTTCATTTGAGAAATTTGCATAGTCTATGACTGTCACCTTTTATTCTATAAATGTCAATTTTGTAAATGTTTATTATACACTTATTTGAGAGTTTTAACAGCTTGCATTTTACATCTAAGTATCTTTTCAAAAATTGGACTTCTATTAGGTTATTTGAATTGTTGTAAAATACTTAGAAACATCAATGTTTTGAATATTGACAGAATATTTGTCAAATACCATTTGTTCCATAGTGCCATACTTTTTTCCTGCTATTTAACAGGCACTCAGATATGTAAGCAAATTGGAGCATTCTGAGTTTTCTGAATCCAGCTTTGCTTTGATAAGACTTCAATTATGCAAGTTTAAGATTATCTTCAGCTTTAATTTTCAACCCTTTTTTTTTTTTTTTTGCAGTGGGCTTTGTGTTGACACTCTGGATGTCTGTTAGACTTAGTTGATATTAAAGCCTTAGGAAAATTTAGTTGAAATTCTCAGAACATATGGATAAAATTAGCAGTGCTTATAGCTTCTTTTTTCTCCTCAGCAAAGATATTAAGTATTAGAGTTCAATATTTGTTTATATTTAGTCTTATAAATATATTATTAACCTGTATTAGCCCAGTGCATACTGTTGATCTTGGCAGAAATATTTTCTCGTTACTTGCATACCTTATTTACTTTCTGCTCTAAAATTAAATTATAAATTGTTCTGTATTAAATGTTTTACTGCTTTCTCTATACCATAAAG